TCCTGCCTCTCCTGTTTCAGCTCTTCTATCTGGGCCTTCAGCTCAGCATTCATGAGCTCCAGACGCTCGGACTCCTAGCAGGACAGAAACACAGCCACATGTGACTTTACTCCACAGGACAAGACACAAGGAGAAACAATTTGATGTACAAGCCATCTCTGTTCAGTGCTGTCCCTCAGCCCATGCAGCACAGGAGCAGCCTGAAGACCCACCAAGGCACCAGGTTCCTCCAGGCCCTTCATCCCCGGCCCCACTGCCTTGCATTACCTAGTGCCAGTGCAAGGAAATACACAGCCACCTCCTGGGAGAGGTGTTTGCTGCACCACAGTAAAACTCCTGCCTGGCTGCTTTCCATGGTCTGGAAGGGTGTTTGGAAACAAACTCAAGTTTTCACCCCTCATATGCAAGGATGGATCCTTGCCCCCAGCTGTGTCATTTGCTCATGTCCCACAACCCCTTGCAGAAAAGAAGCAAGAGAGTTTTACTGCCTTGGGGTCATGGGTGAGAGGGATCTAGCCTCTGAACGGAGAAACCTTCAGGAATTTGGGCAAGGCACCAGCACTGTCAACCCCTGTCCTGTGCCATGCTCCTACGAGTGCTCCTGCTTCAACACTGAGGCAGGGACACTATCAGCCCTCTCTCCCCCAAGCCCAGAGCCCACCTCCAGCCCCCTCCAGCCCTGGTACCATGGGCACAGGGATGACCGTGAGCTCTGCCTGCACGTGCACATGGCCACCACCTTCACAGCCTCATGGAAAGGGGACAACAGGCCTGTATTTGCCCAGATAAGGGCACAGGAACAAGGGGAGGCAGAGGGGCAGTTCAGAAGTGACAGATGCCCGCAGCTGGGGCCTCCTTTTTAGGGAGGTACCACCGCCAAGGTCCTCGTCATGCCCTGGGACAAGTTGGGGCACCCACCCGCTGCAGAAACTCCGTTCTCTCCTTCTTCTTGTTACGACATCGTGCTGCTGCTACTTTGTTTTTCTCCCGGCGCCTTTTCCTCCTCTCCTCTTCCTCGTCCAGCTGCAAGGAGACAGAGAAGCTCACGTCAGAGCTGGCAGGAGAGGGGCATGGCAGAAGCTAGGAGCGCGCAGCCCCATCCAGTGGCCACCAGAGACATGATGTAAGCCTCACCAGGAACCAGGTGTGCTGCTGCCACGGCCTCTAACTCCACTCTGTGGGGACACAGGGAGGGAGACCAGCGTGGTACCCACAGCCGGAGATCCGGCTGGCAGGGGACAGATAACTCTTTGCAAGGCTGCTCCCTCCCTGAGAGAGGGCAGAGACAAGGGGAATAGAGCCCCAACCTGCAAAGATGGGCAGTTTGTCACACAGACATCTACAGGCACACCTCTGTGAGCACAGTCATTCAAAGCATCACAGACGCAGCCAAGGGCGAGAGGCAGAGAAATCTGAAAAATCCTCCAGCTGGGCCTGACTGTTCCCTCCCTTCCACTACATGGGACCATCTGCTGCAGCTTCACACCCAGCCCAGTCACAGGGCCACTGCAGTAAGGTGGGACAGGTCCTGCATCCTCTGTAAAGACGCAGGACATGGCAGTGCCTGCACTGTTTGCCGTGACTCAGTTGCTCTGTGCTGACTCTAACCACACAGGCCAGGCCAATAAGCCCTATGGGTTGGAAACCCATAATCAAAATATTTAGGGATATTTACTACAAAGCCTGTGTAAATGGCTGATGGCTTGCTTACATCCGAGAACCCAAACCAGCTCCTTCAAGAAAAATCTGAGTGCTGGAAAGCCCTGCAAAGTCAGCATCCATGTTACACTTTGTAGCACTGGCTAGAGAAGAAAAGGTCCCCAGTGCCTTCTTCCACTTTTGGCCGGGGACTCCAAAATTTAAGATGTTAGGCTGAACTGCTTCATTCCTATCAACTCATACCTGACTGTACAGGCACACATCTTTTCAAACGCAGTGGCAACAATATTTGCTTTATGAGCACTTCCACAGCCTATCTGCACCTTCTCTAAGGGCAGCTCCAGTCTGAGAAGGTAACTGCACCCTTCCCTTCGTACCTTCCCAAGTCAGTGTGGTTGAGGGACACCTCTCCCAGATGAGCCTCTCATAGCACACTCCATCTGAACAGCCTTGTTGCTGTAGCACCTGAGCTCAGTCACCTCAAAATGAAAGAGATTCCCAATACCAAGGCCACAAAGTGGTGGTGGGAGCGGGGGGCCACCAGATTACCCCACACATAGGTACACATGTGGTGCCTGTAGGAAATGAAAGCTGCAGGTGCCATAGCCCACAGCAAACAGTCCATGCTACTAACATTCACTGAGTCCAAAGCCCACTAATCAAGTATCTCAATATTATGTGCAAGGACAGGATGAAACATTGACTTGGCAGAGTTAAGGTGAAGGGGTACCTTAAGTAAGCTGCATGTCCAATATGCAGCATGTAGCATACTTAAGAAGACAACACCCAAGTTTCATAGCACTAATAGCTTTTGCATCTTCTCTACCTTATTTCCCAAACATTATACCAAAGTTGCTATTTTAGCTGGGGCTAAATAGTAAGCAAAGTCAGCACAAGCCATGCACAGACTTCCATAATGCCGGGCTGCCACCATTCCTTTGTCAAGGCAGTGCCATGGGGCATAATGCACCACACTTGGGAGAACCAGGATGGGAAACTGGGGACTGCACTAACGTCCCCAAGTCCAAATGGAAATGGCCAGATCTCATTACACCCACGTAACTCAGATGTGGCAGGCGTTAGCAGAAGTGACCAAAAGTGACTAGGGAGGCTCTAACTTCATGCTCTGCTGCCTTTTCCTCCTGGGAGGACCAGGATACCCCACAGCAAAGGCACAAGCAGCTCTTACAAAATTTCCACGCAGAGTTGAAGAGGAGGCGGCAGGGTAGCCACCATTTCCCTCCACACATTTACCAACCACTCATCTACCCCTTAGATAGCTTCTTGGCCTTTTATTTCAAGGATTAGTAGGAGGGTGCAGAGAGGGGACATGTTCACAGCTCCAAACTCAAGAAACACACCCCAAATTTTACAGCAAAGAACATCTTGGATTGTAACAGGAACTGGAAGAGCAAAGAGCGACTGCACGAGCCTCACAGTATCCCTGGGAACTGCTTGACACATTTCCATGCCTTGTTGCTCCTTTCGGCGAGAATAAAAGAACAAATGATCTATCCCTCTCCCCTCCAGCTTCCCCTCCACCCCACAGAGGGCCCAGCAAAGGGCCATATCCTTTAGATGGGGTACAGATATTCAAGGAGGGTGATTCAGCACAGGTAGTGGCAGCTTAAACGCTTGGCTCTGCCTCTTGACCACTGCTCCTGTAACTTCAAGAGAGCAGGTTTCCCTGTCTCCGCTTCTGCTTGATTTCAGCTCAAAAAGGTGACATGGCCCTGATACTGGGGGTTAGGACTCTACTCAGAGGCACGAGGGACAGCGATAGTGTATCACCCCTTAGCATGTTTCAGTAGCCCATCTCCAGGGGAGCCCTGTGGGTAGAAGGTCTGGGGTTGCCTCCTGAATTGCTTCAGCCAGCAGCATCAGGGACAGAGGTGAACATCAGCCTGAGGGGCAGGACTCCATCCCGGAGGGAGGATCCCAGGTGGGTTTCGATTGCAGAGGAGCACAGCAGCACCTGTCTCCAGCTGCCCCAAGAGGAGGGTAGCCTGCCCAGTGGGAGTGTCCACCATTCTGTGGGGAAGCCAGTGCCCAGCACCCCCTGGGTGGGATTTGTTCATACCCCCAGGGACAAACACCCCAGGAGATGCTGGTCACCCCAGCACAGCAGAGAAAGCTGCCTGTGCCGCAGCTCGCAGCCTGCCCTCCTAGGTGCTGTGCAGAGCGTGGCATGCTGGTACCCAGTGTCCCCAGGCTCTGGCGCCCTGCGACAGGAAAGCAGCTGCAGGCTGCATTGCAAAATTATGCGTGGGCAGCTTCTTGGCTAGTCATGGGATAAGTCAGCTCCCCCAGGCTTTTGCTGCAAAGCCTGTGCCAGGGGCAGCTCCATTTGCTGTCCTCAACTCCTCGGCTTCACGGGCCACATGGGGGAGGAACTGACTGCAGGGAAGGCAGCCGTGTGAGGGCTGCCAGTGGATTTCCTCTTATCTTTCCTCCACACGGTGTCTCAACAACCGGCTCAGAGAACACTTGGCACTCGTAGTACCTGCTGTGGGGCAGACCTGCCCTGTCCCTGCTACGCAGAGGCTGGTGAGACCACATCCCCACGCCCACTGAGCAAAAGCAGCAGTTGCAGGGCCAGCTCAGAGGCACCTGAGATGCCCCAGAAAAGGAGCTGATCTCAGGAAGACAGCACAGCTACAGACTCCCTCTTTCTTCCCCAGCCCATGAAGCAAGGTGGGCATTGCACCCCATTTGCTGCATGATACCCAGGCCAAGAGCTTGGGACAGCATTTGGCTTCAGTTGCCAACCCAGGACTACTGTGCCCATAGAGGGACCAAAGCCATTAGCACTCTCCAGGCCCTTCCAATGGTCTTCCGCAGCATCCTAGCCTCAGCTCCTGCCATTGAAGAGCTACCCAGTCCTTCTCCAGATGAGCTCCATGGGATGCTGCATGAGCCGGCCAGACACTGCCTTGGGCACAGAGCTCCTGTGCAAGATGATCAGACAGACTCCATTGTACCCATGCTCCCCACAGAAGTCCACGCAAGGGGCTGAGGGGAAGGAACAGACACTCTCCTCACAGGTGGGGCTGGGTGCTGCTGAGCTTTTGTTGTAACAGTTGAACCAAACCAAGAGTCAGCACCATTTGAAGAGAGGGCTGCTCCCTGGAACTGATGTTTTACCCTCCTCAGCTCATAGCTCATCACAGGCAGCTTTTCACATCATCTAGCACCTCCTCACTGATGTCTCCAGAGAATGCACGTCACCCCATCCTCCCACGGCATCATCTGAAGTATCCTCATGCAGGAGCAAACGCACTGTTCAGAAGGGTTGTTTATTGGACCTTCTGACAGCAGGGCCAATGCAGGGCCTCCAAATTGATGGGTTCCCAGCTCTGTCTGCAGGCAGTGGGGGGTGCAAACACTCACCACCCGTACAGCAAGGGTCAAGGATTCAAAGACTGGGCAACCAACACGAGACAACCACACAAGGAATACACTGTGCAAGCATCTCCCAGGTCCCTGCAGCCTGGCTATGACGTGCCAGCCTGTGGTACCGAGCGGAAGATGCCCACCTACTCTGTCTCAGGAGCCCCAAGGTGAAGCCAGGGCTCCCCCGAGCAGCAGGGCAGGGTCAGCCCCAGCCAGCAGCGCCTGCGACACCAGCTGAGTCACCGCTGCAGCTCAGCACCACTCACCCACGTGCCTCGTCCATGCGAGAAAGGTAACTCCAACGCGAGCAGCGCCAAGGGCTCATTAGCACCAGAGATGGGATGAAAGCATCGTGCAAGCCCTCTGACAGGCTGCACAGCCTCTCCTTTGGGTGCGTGCCCCAACCTAGGGATACATTGGCTGCACCAGACCCCGCTCTGCAGGGAGGGTTTGAGTTCAGCTGGCTGCCAATGGCTGTGTGGGACTGGTCAGGTTTGGGACACCAAAGCCACCACTCCCAGCCCATGCCACAGGGACAGAAATTCAGGCACAAGGAAGAGGCAGCCAGGGGAGCAGATGCCAACATGCGTGCACATCACCAAACAGGCAGCATGAGATGCTTATAAAACATGTTGCTGGCCACCCTGGCATGAAGCCCAAGCATAGGCAGGAGAGAAATCCAGGCAGGTGCAGGCAATAGCCCTGCAGGGCCCTCTGCAGCCAGCAGCCCTCAAGACTCACCTCACTCTTCACGGGCTGGGGTCTCTTCCCAAGCTTCACCTCCAGGAAGTGGAGTGGTGAGATCATGGCCCCGATGTTGCGGATGTCGGCGTACTTCAGCTCCTCAGCGGTCAGGGCTGTGCCAGGCAGTCCTGTCAAGGGGCCGAGCCCAGGCAGCGCGCCAGCCGTCAGCGACGGGTCGGGGATCTGCCCTGGCATCATAGCAGGGGAAACAGCTTCGTAGGCTGGAGGGAGAGTGAGACACAGCCCGTTAAAACCCGCTACAGAGCCTCACGACACAGTACAAGCCTAATTTATTCTACGGTTCCATCTTCTGACAGGGTGTGAGCCAAGGAAAGCACCTGCTCTTCCCCAGGGATGGTAAAGGCAAGGACTAAGCAAAACCTGAGTGCTAGAAACGAAAATATATGAATCCTGCTAGGAAGGATACGTGACTGGTGTATAGATCAGGAAGGAAAGAGACCTGAGAGGCAAACAAAGCACCAGAAGAACAGAAGTTGGCTTCAACAACAGTGATGTGGTCCCATGGACTACTGGTTTTGGCACACCTTTCTCTGGAGTGCGGAAGATCAAGGTTTGCTCTTAACTGAGTTTTGATTAATGTGTAGATTACTAGGACAACAAGAAAAAAGCACAAAGAAGACTATAATATACCTTAGGCTGGATTTCTTCTGAGCAGGCTCAGCCCACTGATCAGGGCTGGGACACAGCACATGGGGACCAGAAATAAAATCACAAGAGAAAAACCTGTCACTGAACAAAAAGTCCCCCAGCACTGACATGAGGATGCAACGGCTGGAGGAGAAATGGAGCAAGGTGCAAAAGGCTTCCATCAGGAAAGAAAATTGCAACACAAGTGAGAATAGGATCAGGACACGCTTTGGCAAGTCACTTATACGCAGAAGACAGGGAGTTACCAGAAAACATGAAGAACAAGTGGCTAAGAGATAAAGAAATACAATTATACCTGAAATGGGAAGCCTATAGAGCTGGAGCTATTATACCAGCCAAAAAGCAATGGTAGCAGGTGGTTGTTGGCTACAGCACAAGTACATCTCTGCTTGTGTAACTGGCCTGGGACACTCACAAGTGACCCAGTTACGACACGCAGAGTCAACTTCTGTTCATACAGCGACTATTTCGCACATCACTCCCCCACCCTCAACATCAGTGCTCGTGCACTGGTCCCAGCACACTCCAGGCATCCACCCCATCCTGCCCCTGTGCCAGGAGGCACCCACACAGCAGGGAGAGGGACCAGCAATGTCAGGAGAGAGAAGTAGGCTATTGGAGCAAACACAAAATCTCACTGAGCATCTTCCCACAACCACTAGAGCCACTCACAAGACAAGATTCAACGAGCAGTTGGACAAACTCATGGAAGAGAGGTCCATGAAGGACCATCAGTGACATCAGTCTGCATAAACTCCTGGAAGCCCTGACAGCACCAACTGCCAGAGCAAGGAGGTGCATTAAGCGAGGGATCTTTAAGCAGGGTATCTGCCCTGCTCTTTCCAAAGCATCTGCTCTCAGCTGCTGAGAGACCAGGTAACAGGCAATGCAGACTTTTGGTCCAGGCAGTACAGTCATGCTAAGCAGAGGCACACACGCCTTGTCAAGCCAGCTGCCACAGTTGCTCAGCACCTGCCATCCTGGAGTGACAAGTCTATGTCAGTACCAGGCTGAAAACTTGAGTAAAGCTGCATTTGAGATAGAACTGTTGGATCACGGATTTACAGAACAGTTGAGGTGGGGAGGGACCTCTGGAGATCACCCGGTCCAACACACTGGCTCAAGTAGGGTGAGTGGAAGCAGGTTGAACAGGGTTAATCATGACAAGCAGAGAAGTTAAGGATTTCTTGGCACTGGCACATCTCTTTACCCAGGAGATTATTTGGTGCATTTGTTAATGTGAAGGAACAGGAGATGAGCAGCGGAAGGGAAGGAAAGCTAATCATACAGGTTAGTCAAGGGTAGAGAAGCTAATGCAAGCTCCACAGCTCCCAGCACAGGTGCTGTGCAAGCCATACTGGCACGTCAGATAAGGGGATTTGCATCAGAGAGCACCTACAAGCTGCAATATGCTGTGAGCTGTCATACCCTCTAATCTGCCACCGAAGAGGTCCAGGTGTCACCACGAGATGTTCCCTGGCAGTTTGCTTAGCAGACTGCAGCAGTGACCAATGGGACTTGGGAGAGCGTGGAAAGCAATTGCAGCAAGAGCGTGACTGCAAAGAGGCAGTGAGCAGGAATCAAGCCCTCTGCTCTTGGTCGTCCTTCAGGAGCAGAGACTAGAAAGGGGAGAGCAGCCCAGTGCTCAGCAGTGCTGGTATGGGGGCAGGAGGTGGGGAGGAAGCTGGGCCCAGGGGAGGTGATCTGCACAAGGACATTAAAGTCTGAAAAGGAGAAGATGGGGAAGATAGGAGACATGAGTAACTTCTGAAGTGAAGTGACACTACCTGATGAAATGGACTCCCGCCCATTTGGTGACAGAAGAGGAAGAAAATACTTGGTAATGATACTTGACCTCAGGAAAGACTACATGTCAACTTGTTGAGATTGCAAGGACCTAAACTGATCTGAAGTATTCATTCCTCCGTAGCGATCTCTAAACCAGACAGCTGTAATTCCACATCTACAGCACTTGCTTTGCATGGGGTCAGGAGATGCCCCGTCACAGCAGGGCTCTGAAGCTGCACACTACCTCCCTCCCCTTCCTTTCAGGCCTACACACGGCTAAGCTGCTTCTCTCCTCCAGGAACCAGGCACCATCCTACCCTAGGCTGCACTCCAGACAGAAAAATGCAAAAAGTTATTTGGGAACTGTGCCTAAACCCCTACCATCTTCCCCAGAGACTGTCCCTCTCTCGTAGAAAAGCAACAGGTCAGAGAGGTGGCATGGTGACTCCAGAGGCTCTTCCCAGGACATACTGCCACAGGACTCAGCGCCGTGGAGTTAAATTCAGCTTACCATTTTGGGACAGCTGCACACACTGCAGAGTTAGCCACTGCCCAGCTGCTGCCACCAAGATGACAGGCTGCAGCACTGGGGAAGAAGCCTGCCAACAGCAGCACACCCCGGGCCAGCTGCTGCATACTCCTCACCAGCAATCCCAAGGACGTCCATCCCCACCTTGAACAATCTGGGCTTAAGTAAAGGTAAAAATAAAAATAAATCAGTAGCTAAAGTATATGAACACTCTCTCGAAGTCTCCCCTCTGCAAATATCATGTGTGAGCTGCTATGGTACACATGGATTTGGGGCCTTAACCCACTCTCTCACAGGCTTCAGGCTGGAAACCGACTGGAGCCCAGCACTGGATGCCTCGATCTATTCTGGACTTGGGGGATCTGTTGTCCTCCAGGTCTTCGTCTTGCTGTCTTCCAATTTGTTGTCTTCCACCAGAACATGCACCTGACAGCACCCACGTGCTGGTCTGGACAGTCCAGGTCCTCAGCTAGATCAAACTCAGGATCACTGCAGTTTATGAAATAAGGAGAGAGGAGAAATCTGTTCTCCAGAGTGTGGGACCACCTCACCACTGAGCACCCCCCCTGCACTCCTGAGCCTGGGGCAGCTCCCCAGGGACAACTGGCTAAAGGTTTGAGAAAACATTGTGTTTTCTCTGGCCCATCTTTTCCCTCTAACTTTTTGATCTGGTAGCTTAACATGCCTTGAAACAGCATGCGTACCAGTGTGACATCAGGCGCAGTCAGAGAGAGGGAGCTGGCCCAGTATCTAACAAGCTCTAAGAACTTATCCTGGATCCAGGGACTGCACTGCGAAAGCCCACATCACACCTGCATCAGTGTAAACTAAATCTAAAGCTGTTCAAACCAAAGCACCAGAAGACACCTGGAAGAACATGGACCTGCACATTAAGAGGAGCTGAGAACTAGGTGGGAAGGGGGAAAATGACTTCTACAAGCAAGATCTTGCTCAGGAGCACAATGAGAACTGCCAAGAGGCACGCTGAGTTAGACCGTGGAGAGGAACGTAAAACTATTCCCAGCAGGGCTATAACCATGGAAACATGAAGGGAATGAGGAGAGATGCCACCCTTCTCCGCAGAGCAGGGGTGCACTGACAGATCCTCTCGCCAAGCCCTTGATGCCCCTCAGCCCCAGGCACTGTCATTCCCTGCTGACTGGAGGGACTCTCTTTGACATGCCAGCCTATAGCTCCAGCATATTTCTACTGCGTTTGCGTGGTAGGGCAGAAATAGTGTTGAAGTTCAAAATCTGAGTTTGACCTTCAAGTTGCAGTTTTTCAATAGCCACATCTTGCTCAGTGGGGTGAATTCGGCTGGTGCCTTGCCAATTCCTAATTCCTTTCTGGATATTCCCTTGCAGTGTTTGTTATTTCTGAGGCACATGAATCAACTCACCTCTGTATTCCTTCACTTTCTAACACAGTGCTTTAACTGGGATTCTTATTAGATTTTTTTCTTTTCGTAACTGATTATTAACAGTCTTTTTTCCCCTGAATGCCAGGCAGTCTTTCAATATCTCCTTACACAAGCCAAGAAATGTTGTGTCTTCAGTAAAACCTAGCTTTCTGGTGTCCTGTGGCTGAACCACACAATTCCTGCATTGTACCAGCTATGCTTTTGCACATAATGAAGCCAACAGCAAAGCAAAGCAGCCAGGGGAAAGAGAACGTGCAGTCTCACATCTGACACTGGGATCTGCGTGACACCAGCTGCTCGAGTTTACGTTCACCGTGGCTGTGCCTTCTGCACTGATGCTATTCATCATTTCATGCCACAACATCAAGATGCTCCAGAGTGAATTAGGAGACAGAGAAGGCTGTCTTAAAACTTCAGATCATCGACAAGCAGCTTGTGTCATTCAATGCTCTCTTCAGCAACTATCCTTGCAGCAAAAATCTGGTCAACACATGACTTCTTGGGTCAAAATTCAGTTTGTATTTCCTTAGCTTTGCCTCTACACTCCCCTTGTTCTGGTTAAAGTGCTGTAACACAAGACTTGACCTCTTGCTGAAATGTCTGTAAACTCTCCTAATTATTGCAGTCACTTTTGCATCCTTGCTTTGGCACTGTTCTTGTTGTGGTCTTGGTCAACCTCAGGTCAAACTCAGTTATTCTATCAGCAGTCTCATCACCAAAAAGCTGGCAACAGTACACCTTCCTTTGCTCATCTTGGTTTTGCTGCATCTTTCCCATATGCGACGAGCGCTT